CCACATGCATGGATAAAGCAAAAAAATCTTAAGTGTACCGTCTATGACACGCTCAGTTAACCAACACTCATTATTATACAGAATATTCCCCTTCTCCCTTAATAGTCCTAAAGGTAACCACTACTCTGTTTTATCACCATACATTTGTTTCTTTTGTCCTTAAAACTTCATATTAAGTGGAATCATACAGTGTATACTCATTTGTTTCTTCTTTTTTTTTCAATATTAAATCAGGAAGGTCCATCTGTGTAGCTGTAAGTAGCAGTCATTCATTCCTTTCTTTCGCTCTATGGTGGGAATGGTTGTGTTTATATGTAACAATTCACATATTTGACCAAAATAATGCCCAATTCAACACTGAGATTTTCTGTCATCCTGAACTCCATGTTCTAGTTCAGGCTTTCTGGACTCTATGCTTACAAATCAAGAGAATAAAAGTTTGCTTTACTTCACATATTTCTCCCAGGCTCTGTGACCTCTATTCAAGCCAAAGAGAATCAACAGTTCCTGTGCCCAGACTGTTGGCAGCATAACAAATCACAGATCCGGAAACCATTAAGAAAATGACTGAAAATTTATTTTGGATTTTTAAGTCAAAGGTGAAATGGTCTTGCATACCCTTTGAATTATAATACTGAATAATCTCTATGTGGCTCAATCAGTATTTCTAAAGTGCTAATAAAAGGATCTAGACCCAAAGGGAAAGGGTTAAGAAGTTGTTCCAACAGAAGAGGGTGTCAGGGCCAGAAGTTTCACCTGCCCTCTCACCAATGTGTCCCAGATCCAGCACTCCACTGTTACATATGATGAACGACTCTACCATGTAAAAATATTAGAAAACTATGGGAATAATATGACTGTCATAAAAATGTTAAAAATGTTTTACAAACATCAATACCTACACATCATTAAAATATAAAAAGAAAACTAAAAAACAGAAATAGAAGGAAGTCAAGTAGCTATAGCTTCAGTATCATACTTAATGGTAAACTATCAGAATAATACATAGAATATGAAACTATTTGTATGAGGTTTAAAAACATTTAAATCATTACTAAGTATTACTTATAAATGCAGACAAATATAGTAAATGTATAATTTTATGTATGAAGTCATATATCACTTAAAAGTCAGGAAGGACATAAAGATGCCTGCTAACATCATTTCAACAAAACATTGTATTATAGAAACTTATCACCATGGTAGGACAAAAAACAGTAATAAATACAAGGACAGAAAAGGTAAAAAAAAAAAAAGTATTTGTATATCCTATTCTTGACTATAGAGAGACTTTGAGAAAGTTTATAAACAAATTATTTAGAAGTAATAAGACTATCATTTACAGTACACTGGTAAAATGTATACCTTTACATCAGCCACAACAATAAAAACAATGAAAGAAAACATAATTTTAAAACAGATTCCATTAGAAAGAGAAAGACTGAATATAATGCTCCTTAGAGAAAACTAAAAAAAAAATATTAAGATTTTATGTAGGAAGTTTTTTAATTGAAAGATATGAGAAGTATCTATATAAATGGAGAGATACACCATGTTCATGGGTAAGAGAATTCGATATCATAAAGATGTCAGATGTCTTCTTCCCATTATTCCATAATTTCAATTCAGGTCCACTCAAAATTTCAATATATAACTTTATTATGTAGCATAAAAAGCTGATTATTAAATTCATGTGTAGAAATAAAGGGACAAGACTAGCCAAGATCATTTTGAAAATGCTTTCAAAGATATCAAGATTCACATAAAACAATTATATTTAAGACAGAGGGGTCATGGACAAAGGGAAGGACAGACAGATAATTGGAATAGAATTACATCTCAGAAACAGAAACAGGCACAGCCATATAGTGTATTAATATGCAATCCAATGAGAAAACAATTGATTTAGAAACTATAGGTTATCTGCATAAAAATATGGCTAATAGAAAAAGATTTCTTACACAATACATAAAAAATACAAGCTCTAATAAAAAAATTGATAATATTGACTTCAGCCATCTGTATAACAAAAAGTAAGCATAAAACAGAGAAAAGAAAACCCAGGTAGGACTGGGGAAATATATTTACAGTTTACATATATGTATAAATGCACATTCTAAAACCAGAATTCTTACCAAAAAAAAAATCTCCAATGAAGACAAACAACCCAGTAGAAAAAGGAGCAAAGTGTATGAATAGGCAATTCCCAAGAGAGAAACACGAATGGCCAAAAAGCATATGAAAAGTAGTAACTGGGAAAATACAAAATTTTAAAAAGACACTACTCCCACCTAACAGATGGTTAAATTTTTAACTGTTACCAATAGCAACTGTTGAAAAAGACGTGACAATGCTAAAACTTTCATGAACTGCTCAGTGGTATGTCACTGCTGTGCTGGTGTAGTGCAAGCGCTATAATGAGGAGTTTGGCAGCAGCCCTCAGACACATCCATCGAAATGCCAGGAAGAAATCCACACACTAAAAGACATGCATGTGAAGTTTCATCCTTGGCATTGGTACAAAAAAAATTAGAAAGATTCTAAATATCCAGTATCAGACATTTAAATAAGTAAATTGTGGCATGTAAGTATGACATTGTTTACAGCATCTAAATGAATAATCTAAAGCTCCACATATCCCCATAGACAAATCTTAATAACATAATTATACATCAAATAAGGGAGTTACAAAATAAGAGTATGGTATCATTTATAAGAAGTTTAAAGCATGTTAAGAAATACTAAATACCATTCAGAAAAACATACAAATACAATAAAAGCATAAAAACATGCAAGAAACAATCCGAAACCAATATAGCAGGGCTTTTTCCCGGGGGAAGGACAGGTAAGTGAGTTTGGCAGGATTATAAAGGGAGTTTTCATAGTGATGCAGTCAGTATTCCATGTCTTTAAAATATTTCTAAAGTAAAGGTTAAAATGTGGCAAAGTTAGGTGTTAATTACACAGAAGTTAATTTTGTGTATTCTTTCTGCTTATTCATTCTGCTCTTCTTAACCCTTAAAGTCGTCTACAATAAAAATTAAGATGTTAAAAAACAATAGTGAGACTTCATAGAATGTAAAAGCATTTATAATACATAAATTAATCAATCAACATCCAACTATGGGATGATAGCAAATGTTTTTCTGCAGACTGGGACCTCCCCATAGATGGCATTTGACAAAGTTCCAGGATGAGGTCTCTTTTTCGGTTGTCTCATTAACAGGAGAGCACTGCTGGCACTGACTGGCGGGGCGGGGAGAGGGGAGCGATAAATGTCTTGTGATGTATTGGTATAATCCAGCACAAGGAAACATTGTCCCTGTATCCCCCATTGAGAGAAACGGTCCCTGTAACAGGTAGCCTTGGGACATGCCTGACTTGACCACAGTGTGAGCTCAGGTCTCTCACCATGATAAGATGGCCTCTTACTCAGGATCTTTCCTTTAATAATGTTTTGTCCAGAGCATCCTGTCTCAGAGATTGTTCTAGGACCCAGGAAGAGAAAAGATGCATAATGTTCTGCCCTGCCCCCTATGCTGAGATCCCAGCTCATCCCCCTTGGCCAAGGAGTTGGGATCCATCAAGTAAACCTCAAGAAATCATTATGCCCCATCTGATTCGGCCGCATATAATTAAACAGAGCCTCGGTGCTATGGGTTGCTCCATACGTGCCCCCACACATAAATGCATCCCTTTCTGTGGTGTCGCAGAGAACCAGAAAATCAATAATCATGTAACACAACTTTTTTGAGTTACTTTTTAGAAAACGGCAACCTAATTTTGTAAGACAAAAATGTTTTTCTCTTGTATACCAAGTATCCAGGAAAAGGTGTGTGTGTGTGTGTGTGTGTGTGTGTGTGTGTGTGTGTGTGTTATTTGCACTGTGATTCACAAACTAAGTTATTGTAAATGTGGGTCTTTCCCACCTGTGACGTGCAGGAAACATAAAAACAGCAGGGAAAAGAGTATGTTCCCTGCAACATGGCTGCTCTGCTTCATTTCTGTAAACTGGAAATGCTAGGTTATTTGCCTCTAACAGATAAATGGGCTCTGCAGCCCACAATTATAAGATAATACATGGGTTTTCAACAGGAAGTTTGGACTTGATTCGTTCAAGATTAAAGGACACAAGGAAGGTTATATCATTCTGAGTCAATAACTGTACATGTAATGGAGATAGAACAGTATAAAATGTACATAGTCTTAGGTACTAATGATAAGTAGAAAAAAAGCTTGCATCTTTTAGCTAAATTTGTTTATTGCCTGAAAACTCAGTATAGTAATTCAAGGCCAAGTGACAGGAAATTGCAGTTTCCTGGCTGACAGCAATTCAATCTGCAGTAATAGTTCTGAAACGGAATTTCTAAGCTCTGAAGAGGGGCAAAACACAGCATTTTCAATAACTTGGGGTACAACCCAGATGATATGGCACACATTATATAGATTAAATTATGGTGTATGCTTACAAGAAGGCAGAACCTTATTATGTAATTTCAATCAAACTTTTGATTTGGTCAGATGCTAAAATTTGGTCTATACATGGTCTCCCATAGGGAGACTGGAAACACAACTGTTTCTTGCTGCATCAGCAAATAGACAATCATTTTCTCTAGGTAATCATAAAATAAAAACACTGAAAATTGGTGGGCTAAGACAAGTTTTTAAAGTTTTTCTGGTTTTCTTCTTGTGGAAGGATTGTTTTCTACATAATTTCTCCTCTTGGAAGGGATTTCTATCCGTGTTCATTCCCTACAAATATGTAAATTGTTATGAGAGTAAATAATTGTCAGTCTTGTTTGAACCACAGTACTGTTTTGTTACAACACATTAGCCTTTACCCTAAACAATACAGAAATCCTGGCCTGACAGAGAACATGATAGGCTGGATTGTTCTGAGTAAATATTTTCTCACCTCCCCAGCCCAAGTGAATTGGAACTTACCCATGTGACTTGCTTTGCCCAATGAAAGGAAAGTGGACTAATGCAAGTACGGGTTTTTAATTGGCTTGCCCTCTTGATGGTCCTCCCGGAGAAGGAGAAGAGCACACCTTAGGTAGCCATGGAGAAGACCTCATTCTAACCCACAGCATGAGGCCAAGCCCAGCCAAGCCCAGGTGAGGTATAGCTGAGCTATTAACCAAGAAATCAATGCTTCTTGTTCTAAGCTATTGAATTTTGGAGAAGGCAATATGGGGAAGTTAGGCCACATCACTAAAGATATATAACACAGTGAAGAAAGAATATCTGAGGACATATTTAAGGAAACAATTTGAAATTAGAATTGCTAAAAATGTTTATGTGTAGCTCATCATGGTTTTGAGGCAGGAAAGTTAGAAATAGAACAAAAGCTTCAAGCTCTGCCCCTCCCCCTTTCCACTTTGGCTGGATCATGGAAGACTTGACCTTAACTGACTACCTGTTCCCCCTTTCCTCCTCCCCAATTTCCTATAACTGAGATAAAACTGTTCTCAACCAGATTCAACAGCCATACAGACCTAAAAGTGACCAAAAGTGCCATCATATCTTTATAATAAATTTGCACTGCCCCCCAATCACCACAACAGTTCTGGGATGAATGAAAAAGAAATTGCTATCTGAAGAGGAGGGACACAGACCAGCCAGTCCAGCAGTCACCCACCAATGTCAGAAGCCTAGAACCACCTTACCCCTGCACCTTGCCAACGTTTAATAAAAACCATCCACCTAGATCCCATCAGCGCTTCTTGTTTTCCGAGGTCACCTGCCCTCACTTTTTAAGTACAGCCTATCGCTTAATAAATTTATTGCACTTGGAGAAATCTTTCTGTCATACTCGAATTCATTCTTCTTCCATGACAAGAACCTGGTCCCTAGTATCAGGCTGAGGCCTCCGTTGGCCTCCCCGGTGACATACCCACCCCCACATCAGCTTGAGTTAAATTTCCTGTTCTTCATCATGAAATGGTTAAGTACACAATCTCTAAACATCCCTACAACCTTAAGGTTTTATACGTTGCTTCCTAATTTCTGCCACTTTCTTAGCCAAGGCCCTTCACCACAGACACGCTGAGTATAAGTACATTCTCCTTGAGAGATTTTATCAGCTGTCCTTGGTTTCAGATCATCGTAAGTCAAGATTTGTTATCATTTTATAGCCCAATGGTCTTCACTTTACTTTCTGTATATCTAACCTTTGGGCACCCATACAACACAAAATAGAAAATGCTATCTCTTAAATATCATAAACTCTTTATAGAGAATCAGAAGTCTGGCTAGCATATAAAACTGGTAATTTTCTATTACAGGGATCGATGGTATATTTTGAAGAGATATCAAAAAAAGACTAGCATTCAGTGGAGATCCTCTATGTAGTAAGATTTATAAAAGTATGGGGAGAAGAGAAGTCCTTTGGGGAAGAGTCAGTAGTATTTTGTGTCTGGTACAAACACAGGATACGTTTTTCTTCAGGATTGGGAATACATTGCTTAGTTCTCACCAATAGTAAAAGTGAGGTGACACCTCAGAAAACAGATAGTTAAATACATGTGTGAGTGAGTTCCTAACACTCTTGCCCATCTGTGTAGCTGAAAGGGAAACAGTTTGAATTCCTGAGTTACTGTTGAAGAACAGTCACCAGGAGAATGGCTTGACCCACATCAGACAGTGATACAAGTGAAAAACATACCTGGGTTGTGTTAAGCCACTGACCTTGGAATTTCTTTTTTTTTTAATATAATTTTTAGTTTTTGATTTGAGAGAGAGCGATAAAGATAGCACTTTGTTGTTCAACTTATTTATGCATTTATTGTGGTTCCTGTATACACCCTGACCAGGGATCAAAACCACAATCTTTGTGTACTGGGATGATGCCCTAACTGACATTGAAATTTCTTTTTTAAAAAAATATATTTTATTGATTTTATACAGAGAGGAAGGGAGAGAGATAGAGAGTTAGAAACATCGATGAGAGAGAGACATCGATCAGCTGCCTCCTGCACATCTCCTACTGGGGATGTGCCCGCAACCCAGGTACATGCCCTTGACCAGAATCGAACCTGGGACCTTTCAGTCCGCAGGCCGACGCTCTATCCACTGAGCCAAACTGGTTTTGGCTTGAAATTTCTTATCACCACAGTTACCCTGACCAATACAGCAGGATCCCTGGGTCTGGTCCCCCCATACTATAGCATGGCTCATCATCTTCTCCACTGAAATGTTGCCATACACATTGAAAACCTTTCTCTTTTATTTCCACATACATCAACAGAATTTGGTTGGACTGATAATAAAGAAAACAGCACAATCTGTTGTAGGTTTCCATTTATGCTGGCATATACAACATGCCACTGCACAAGAGTATTCAGAAGATATAAGGTATGTTTTATGCAGTTGATCAATTTCTAAATGGACTAGAGTTTTACACTGAGTCCTAATTTCATTATGGCAAATTTTTCAGTAACTACTAAATAACATGATTTAATATGCTCATAAATGTTAGGTATCAGGTCATAAAAATGAGACACAAAGATAAACTATTCTATGTTTAAACATTCATAAGTTGAGTATAAATATCTTGAGAAATATGAAATATAGTCAAATGAGATATATTCACATATATTCTAATAACCCTTCTAGACAATGAGTTACTTATATGACAGTTAAGGTTACCATATTTTTAGTTCAGAAGTTGTCTTAGCACATAGTTTAACAAATGGTTGTGGAAATAAGAAAGGAAAAAGAAAGAGAGGAAAGAAAGAAGATTATATCAACCAACCAAAGAAATTTAATAGTCAATTCTTTTGTGAAGGATTATCCTACATTTGTGTTTCTGAAAATCTAGCTCTTTGCATAATATAAAGACATTGAACAAAAGAGATTTTAAGAATAGTGAAATACAGTATTAAAAATACTTGACTCACCAGAAATCTATCCACACTAATGCATAATTTGTACTCATTAATTGGAATTATATTGGATTTAATTTTCTTTAATATTAGTTTTGAAAAGGATTTCAGAGCAAATCAATAGTGTAAGTAGTACTTTAACAACACTAGCTGCTTCAAAGCTCTTCAGCTACATGTAATTTGTTTACAAAGGGATGAATGCAGTAATTACAAATGGCTCTTATTATTTGTCAAAGCAAGTCAGGTATTCCTTCATTCAATGTGCATGCATGGATCACCTACCAAATGCTAAGCATTAACCTTACTTTAAGGGCACAGTGAAATGACATTTTCTCAAATATATCTTAGAGAGAAAAAAGACTTCTGAAAATGGCATGCTAATCCTGATGCCAATTATCGACTTTAGCAAAATATTGGTAAAACTGTTAGGCTTCAATTTTTATAGCATAATTTAAAGTGAGAAAAGACCATGGGAAAGTAATCAAGAAGAATGATAGCTCTTCAGCTTAGAACTGAAGAAAGAAAAAGACACATAGCCAGGCTTATGACAGTTTCCTTGACCAGAAATTGGAGCATCAAAGGGTGTGTGTAGGGGTTACGGGCTGGTCAGAAGGGATGTTATGGTTTTAATCTCGCGCTTCTGTTTGGTTTAATTGGTTATCAGCCCAAACATGCACTTGCAATTTGCCACAAGCATTGTCACTTGCTATTGTCTTACAACTAACCACTCCACCCATCTATATATATATAAGCCTAATATGCAAATTGTCCCCTCAGGAGTTCAACCGGGAGACTGGGAGTTCGATTGTTCACTAAGATATGCACTGACCACCAGGGGGTGGTGCAGAATGAAAGAAGGCCCATCCAGTAGCCAGGAAAGGGAGGCCCCAGCAGGTAGCTGGCAGCTGAAAGCCGATGGAAGGAAGGCCCTGGCTAGCAACCAGAAGGCATGCTCCGGCCAGCAGCCAGAAGGCCCCCATCAGCCCTGATCACAGGCCAGGCTAGGGACCCTACATGTGCACAAATTCCATGCACCAGTCCTCTAGTGTATAATAATTACCTATTCCCTAAATATGATTAAGGCATTTGATATTGCAACCTGACTCAGAAAAGAAGAAAAGAAAAAAATTTTGAAGACAGGTAATGGTTTGGATTTATTTGGGGAACAAGAGTAGATTATATTAATTTTTGAATGGATTTAGATCCATCATGAAGAATAAAGCCATAGCATTCCTTATTAAATGGTACACTTTTAACTTTGACAATCAAGTTATAGAGAGCAGCTAGCATGATACAATTTTAAAACAAAACCAAGTAAGCAAAGAACCCCAAACAGGCAACTCTGTGTGTTTTTTTCCCACTCTGGATGAAAATATTGGTTTCAATGGACAGCATATCTTAGTGCCTTACATTGTAAACAGAAAATCCTGTAGAAATATTTGCCTTCTTCTGCATTAAAATATAAATATGTATCCCATTTACATAAATGATTTCACCATTAGTTCACACAGACTACCATGTTAGATTAACAAAAAAAAATACTAGTAGCTATATTAGTTTAAGGTACTATGTATATTTTCTTTCTTGGGCTTTTATAGCATCAATTTCTTACTCAGTTTGCTCAGCAAAGGTACAGAAATCTTTAGCATCTCAATAAAGATAGTTATTGTTCTTTCAGGATCTAAAAACATTTAGTGAGACCAAAGGAAGGAATAGGAATTCTATCTGATTTAAACTCTGCTTCAAAGGTAAACCTACAGAAAGAAGAGTTGGTTTGGCTTCTGTGGGTAGTGGGAAGTTATTCAACCTGATGCACCACGCCTTTTAAATAGCCTACAGATTATAACAATAGCTTACACATATAGCATTTTCTATATGTCATGCTCTGTGCTAAGTACTATCTCATTACCTTCTTACCAAAACCGGTGAATTTGAGACTTTCATTCTACCCATTTTACTGGCAAGGCTACTGAGACAAATGAAAGTGAAATAACCTACCAAAGGTCATATAGGTAGTAAATGGTGGGAGCAGGCCCATTGATTCTAAGTTAAAAGTGGATTGTTACCCACTTTGCTCTCCTTCCTAGAGACACTTCCCAGTCTCCCCTGCATCTAGTTGTGACCATATGACACATTTCTGGCTAATGGAATCTAGGCGGAACTGATATATGCCACTACTCTTAAAAGAAAGGAAAGTATGCTCGCGTGACCATTCCTCTTCCCGTTACCTG